TGGTGGGCGATGGCGAGGAGATTGAGCGGCGCTCCAGAGTCATTTGGCATTCAATTCGGTGGTTTGCCCATTACAGCAGATGTGCACATTGCAACTCTGTGAACCCCAGCGACATCGGATGGAGCTTACGATGTTTGGATTGCCTTCTCTTGTCTTGTCCTGGATGTTCCTCTTCCTCCTCCTCCCCCTTATCATCCTCCTCGTCCTTCAGTTTCAGCGTTCGTCCATGATGTTCGTTGTGGCTCTGCCCTCGGAGCCACCAGAGCATGCAGGCTTATTGTTAGACCCCTTGCGTGGAATTCTGCTCCTCAACGAGAAGGCGTTGCCCTGGACATGTACTCCTCGTTCCCTCTCCCGCCTACTCTTCGTCCCCGTCTCCCTCCTCCTCCTTCCCCTCTTCCTCCTCCTCGTCCCCCTATCTTCCCTTCCCTCCTAGTTGCACGAGGGTCCGTAGCCGTTTGGGCTCAGGCTGTTCTGGCCGAGGACTCAGACCGACCCGCCCACCAGCAGCCCACCCCGCGCCTGCTGTCAGCGATGGCCGTCGCCTTTGCAGCGCCGCCGACCGCCCCGGTGACCGCCTCCGTCGCTGCCGCGCGGACTACCGCCGCGCACCTCGCATCGTCCACCGAGGCGCTGCGCGCGCGGCCCCGCTCTGGCGGCAGAGCTCCGCTGCTGTGCGCGGGGGCCGTGGCACTCGTCGGCTCGCTGGCGCGGCCGCGCCGCCGTTGCCGCGGCCGCGGCGCAGCGGCGCGCTGCGTGGCGGTGCGCGCGGGGGGCAGGGTCGGCTGCGTCGGCATCATCGGCTGCTCTGGAGCCGTCGGCGAGGAGATGCTGAAGTGCCTGGAGGACCGCAGCTTCCCCACCGAGAGGGTGCGCCTCTTCGCCAAGCGCGCCGCCGGCACAGTGGTGAAGACGGAGAAGTTCGGGGACATTACCGTGGAGGAGTTCTCGCTCGAGGCTGCTCAGGAGTGCGAGGTGTGCCTCCTGGCCGTGTCCGGCGACTTCTCCACGGAGTGGTCGCCCAAGATCAGCGGAGGGCCGAAAAACACCAGCGTGATCGACAACTCTTCGGCCTGGCGGTATACGGACTCGGTACCCCTGGTAATTCCGGAAATCAACGGCGGGAAGAATTCTGAGGCGCCTTTGGTGGCCAACCCGAATTGCACCACTGCAGTCGGAGCAATGGCCCTGTACCCACTTCACCAGAAGTACGGCCTCAAGAAAGTCATCATGTCGACGTACCAGGCCGCGAGCGGGGCCGGCGCGGAGGGGATGGCTGAGCTCGAGACTGGCATCAAGGAGTTCGCGGAGACGGGCGTGGTGTCCCCGCCGAAGTTCTTCGCGCACCAGCTGCCCTTCAACGTCATCCCCCAGATCGACGCCTTCCAGGCGAACGGCTACACGAAGGAGGAGATGAAGGTCACCTGGGAGCTCAAGAAGATCTTCGGTCTGTCTGACGATGTCAAGGTTTCGTGCACGGCCGTGCGCGTGCCCACCCTGCGGGCGCACTCGGAGTCCATCGTGATCGAGACGGAGAAGAAGGTGGACCCTGACGAGGCGCGCGAGCTGCTCAGGGCCTCTCCTGGAGTGAAGGTCGTCGACGACCCAGGCTCGCTGATGTACCCCATGCCCCTCAACGCCACGGGGAACCACGACGTGGAGGTCGGCCGTATCCGCCAGAGCCTCATCTTCGGCGACCACGGCCTCGAGTTCTTCCTGTCCGGTGACCAGCTCCTCCGCGGCGCCGCGCTGAACGCGGTGCTCATCGCGGAGCAGGCGGTCGCCGCGAGGCTCGCGTGAGGCCTGCGGGCGCCATTTTGCTTCTCCCGCGGCGCGCAGGGGTGCGGGGGTGTGCCGCTGGTGGGCGGAGCCGCACACGGACGAAGTCTGAGCGGGTCCCCTCTCACCACGCAGCGCGGGCGGCGAGGGCGGCGATCGGCGAGAGCAGCCAGGGCAGAGCAGCCAGCCAGGGGGAAGGGGCCTGGAGGGCCATTCCTTCTCCCCGCTCTCGAGGCCGCCGCCAAGCCTCTCTGCACTCCCAATTTTGTTGATCTTCGCGCAGGCGCTCAGTCGGGCATGTCCCTCTACAGAAGGAATATTCAAAAATAATCAAGACATGCAGTGGGGGTGCGCATCAAGAAACCATATGATGTTCGTCAGGGCATCCTGGGTTTCTTCGCTCCGCGAGCTGCGCGGGGACTTCCCGCAGCCGTTGAAGGAGCTGGTGCGTTCAGGGTGCTCTGGGTTTCCCCTCAGGTGCACCTCGCGCGCGGGTTTTCAGGGTTGGGTTTCTTGCGAGGGTTTCTTGTGGCCGCGCCCGCACTGTAGTCTGAGAATGATTTTTGATTATTTTGGGGGTATGTTATTTTTTGGTCCAAAATCCCCCTGTAGAAGGACAAGCCCGACCTAACGCAAGCAGGGTTGAGCATGCTTCCGGCGCCACTGTGCGGTGATTTGGGGCATGTTGTGTGTCGGGACGCATCGGCTTGCACAACGATTGTCCAAGATTGTGCAATGTGTGTCCCGATCGTTTTCAGGTGCAAGAATCTCCATGTTTTGAACCCCTTTGTAAAGAAGCTGCGTCCAGGCTAACCTGGTCTCTGACGAGTGCACCTGCGACAAGCCATGGGGAACAAAGAGTGAAGAAAAGTCCTGGTGGAGGAGGATGACGATGTCGCGGTGAGGGATAAGGGGCAGGAGGAGTGCCCTGGATGCCAGGACTCCTCGGACGAGCCGCACGCGACGCGACGCACGGCCATCCTGAAGGCCCACCCCGAGGTTGCCAAGCTGCAGGGCCCCGAGTGGAGGTCGCCAGCGCCTTTCGGTACGACCTCCTCCGACTCGAGCTCTCAGGCTCCCCAGACATCCGACGATGTGATTCGTTTCAATGCGCGGCCCGAGGGGTCCCGACCCCTCGGGGCCCATTTCGATCCGATCGGCCCGATGTGGTGCTGGTGTCGATTTCGGCCAGGTCGATGCGATTCGATGCCGATACTCCAGCGATCCGATGCATCTTGGCGCGGCCGATCCGATTCGATTGACGACTCCGCGCCAGGTGCGGTCCGATCCGACGCGCGCTCTGATCGGATCCGATCTGCCGCTTCGGCGAGGGCCGATCTTGCCCCTTCCCCGAGGCAAGCTGTCGCCCCGGATCCACACGCGGGGGTCCCCGAGGCCCAACGACAGGCCCCGGGGACCGAAATTGAGGAGAAACGCCCAGGTCGAAAAACACATCTTCGGGCGCCGTCGCCAGCGCGCGCTCTCCCGTAGGCTGCACGGGGGCCGAGGCAGGGCTGGACCTAAAAACGGTGTTTTTGCTGATTTCGTGGGCCGTCTTCGTTTCGACTTCGTTTTGCGGTAGGGGCGGGTTCGGGACAGGAGCGAGGGAAAACGAAAGCAAAACGAAAACGAAAAACACCGTTTAGGTTCAGCCCTGGACCGAGGCTCGAGATTCTGGGCTGTCGGACGTGCACGTACGTTCTCAACGGCTTCCCATCTCGCCTGGAGCGTTCCCGAACGGCCGCCAGAGACCCGAGGTACGGCCCGAGAGCCGACTGACCCTTCGCCGGAGCGACCTTTGGTGCGGACTTATTGGGGTTCCCTGGCAGGCGCGGCTTGAGCTTGGCACACCCCGCGTCCGCGTGAAGTTGCGCACCAAGGTCACTCATGCCTGGGGACGTTGTTGCGTGTAGCGAAGCCTTTCTCTTCCATCCCTCCCAGACCTCCTCACGCTCAAAACAAAACGCGACCGAATGTTTTGAAGCATTTTCGGCCTCGGAGATCCCTCGCCGGGCCGCTCGGCGACATGACCGTCAAAAATGATTCGGGACGAAACCTGGCTCCAGAGAAGCAGGGAAGGGGTCCAGACATCCAAGGGCCCACGTTGACAAACATACGAAGTTGGCGGTCCACGTTTTTCCTGACATAATGTTCCTCCTTGTCGCGTCACCAGACGAATCCGTACTGGTTTCCACGCGTTTTGCTTGATACCACTTCACCAAGTATGATTAGTCAGTTTCTCATTTCCAGCAAATGCAAGAACATCAAATGGCATTCGGCCCATCCCGCCACCGTGCCTGGGTTGTGGGTATGAAGCCTAGTGGATGTTTTTGGGCTCTCGTGGGAGGCCTCTCGGGGGCCTCTTGGAGGCAGTTTGGACGCTTCTTGGGGGCCGTTTTAGGACCTCTTGGGGGCCTCTTTTGGGCATCTTCTTGGGGCCTCTTAGGAGCATCTGGGGTCCCCTTGGGACCTCCTGGGGGCCTCCCGGGGGCCACTTGGGGCGGAAGGCTCGGATGTTTGGTTCCCACTCTGGGGCCCCTTTGGGGGCAGTCTTTGGGCCGTCTTGGGTTCCGTTGGGGCCGTCTTGGGACCTTGGGCCGTCTTGGGGGTGTTTTGGACCGTCTTGGGGCGGTTTGGGAGGCCTCTAGGACCGTCTTGGAGCGTCGGTGAACCGAGAATGCGAGTAGACCAAAACCAATCTTAGAATCAATGGTTCTGGCCTCTTGGGGCCTTCACAAATGCCAGCCCCACGCGCCGTGGGAGGGCAGAGAAATACCGAGGCCCGCTCCGCGGCCCAGGGGAACGCCGCTCCCCAGACATGGGGTGCGGCGCCCCGAGCGTCGCCCCGACGCGCGTCGCAGCGACGCCCGAGACGCCAGGGGCGCGAAGAACCCCCAGGGCGCGGGCGGGTGGGACAATACGCGTCACGCGGTCGGACACGCGGGCGGGTGGGTCGCCAGCTACCTGCTGTAGCGTCGGACATGTGGCTGTAGCGCATTGCAATCAGCAATGTGAGAGGGGCTTGCGTCGTGATTCCAGAAGGGACGTACGATTCGTAATGTATATGTCCAAAATTGCACGTTCCTGACTTACGCATCTTTGAGCTCCATGGGGTAGAGCGGACTGCTTCGGAACCACTCAGATCACCGTCGATGCCCTGTGCTTCGCGTTGAGCCCGAAGCTAACGGTAGTAGAAGGAGGAGGAGGACGACGACGACCTCATGCATCGCCGTCTTTTTCGGGCAGCAATCAAGCCAGAAATGTGTTGTAAGTTCCGTAGCTATTTGGTATTCAAGTTTATTTGGTCAGGCCCGCGCACATTGCCTCTCCCCCTCCTTACCCTCCTCGTGGACGTCCTCTCGGATTGTCATGGACAAAGCAAGCGCAGCTTAGGCATCATGGAGTCTCTGGAGGAGTACGACTTGGCGCGAGTCCTCAACTTCAGGTCATCCTTGAAGTTTCTGTCACTGGTGGAGGAGGAGCTGGCGGGCTTTGTGGCGAGGGCTCAGCAGGAGGCGGTCGTCACCTCTGGCCGGAGGTGCCTCATGTGTTTCCCGCCGCTGCAGCCCAAGTATGCCCACTTGCTGAACGCAACCATCTTAGATGCTCGTTTGGGGGACCTTCCTGGGGGGCACCTGACATCTTGCTCGACTCTACTTCGAGTCTAGATCGATTGCGAAGGCCTGACGGCCGGTGCCGCCGACCCTGTTCGCAATGCGCAGCAAGAGATTACGAGGTTGCTCAAGGTCGGCTTGGCTGGAGCCCAGGGGAAGAGGAGTCCCAGGGGGGGGCGTCGTATCTGACCCGGGGGGGGGGTCGACACCCCCCCCCCCCCTCCCGGCGGGGGAGGGATCAAAGGGAAGGGGCTTCCCTTCGACTCAATTACGAGGTTGCTCAAGGTCGGCTTGGCTGGAGCCCAGGGGAAGAGGAGTCCCAGGGGGGGGCGTCGTATCTGACCCGGGGGGGGGGTCGACACCCCCCCCCCCTCCCGGCGGGGGAGGGATCAAAGGGAAGGGGCTTCCCTTCGACTCAATTACGAGGTTGCTCAAGGTCGGCTTGGCTGGAGCCCAGGGGAAGAGGAGTCCCAGGGGGGGGCGTCGTATCTGACCCGGGGGGGGGGTCGCTACCCCCCCCCCCCTCCCGGCGGGGGAGGGATCAAAGGGAAGGGGCTTCCCTTCGACTCAATTACGAGGTTGCTCAAGGCTCAAGGTGGTTGGGGACCATCTCCCAGGGGGGGCGTCGTATCTGACCCACCCCCCCCCCCCCTCCCGGCGGGGGAGGATCAAAGGGAAGGGGCTTCCCTTCGACTCAATTACGAGGTTGCTCAAGGTCGGCTTGGCTGGAGCCCAGGGGAAGAGGAGTCCCAGGGGGGGGCGTCGTATCTGACCCGGGGGGGGGGTCGCACCCCCCCCCCCCTCCCGGCGGGGGAGGGATCAAAGGGAAGGGGCTTCCCTTCGACTCAATTACGAGGTTGCTCAAGGTCGGCTTGGCTGGAGCCCAGGGGAAGAGGAGTCCCAGGGGGGGGCGTCGTATCTGACCCGGGGGGGGGGTCGACCCCCCCCCCCCCTCCCGGCGGGGGAGGGATCAAAGGGAAGGGGCTTCCCTTCGACTCAATTACGAGGTTGCTCAAGGTCGGCTTGGCTGGAGCCCAGGGGAAGAGGAGTCCCAGGGGGGGCGTCGTATCTGACCCGGGGGGGGGGTCGACACCCCCCCCCCCCCTCCCGGCGGGGGAGGGATCAAAGGGAAGGGGCTTCCCTTCGACTCAATTACGAGGTTGCTCAAGGTCGGCTTGGCTGGAGCCCAGGGGAAGAGGAGTCCCAGGGGGGGGCGTCGTATCTGACCCGGGGGGGGGGTCGACACCCCCCCCCCCTCCCGGCGGGGGAGGGATCAAAGGGAAGGGGCTTCCCTTCGACTCAATTACGAGGTTGCTCAAGGTCGGCTTGGCTGGAGCCCAGGGGAAGAGGTCTCCCAGGGAAAGGGAAGGACAGAGACGACGAGTACAAAGAATGACGGAGATGACGGCTCGAACGGAAAAGCCCCTCACACACGCCGACAGGGTCGGCGGATTCTAATGCGTTTCTAGCTCGACCCAAGTTCCACTCAATTTCGACTCAAGTCGACAGAAGTTCGACGCCGCTTCGACGCATGAGTGGAGCGAGTGGCTCTGGGAAGGCCCCCAGAACGAACCTCTGAACCATCGCTCGGTTCGACCTGGCGGCGATTGTGCAGGGGTGGGGCGACGAGCGGCGCATCATCGCCGAGTCCACGAGCGACCGGCGGGGCCAGACCCCCGCTGTGCGGTGCGGCGACTTCCGCCCCGAGGGCAAGGACGTCCAGGGGCAGTCGTCAGGAAAGAGTCTAGGAGTGTTGCTGGTATTGGTCTTGAGCAGGTTTTGAATTGCGGGCAGACGTAGTTATCCATACTGATACTTGTTTCTCGTTCTCGCTTTTTTGAGTTTTCTCGGGTAGACCTCTTTCCCCACGGCTGCATTCGCCTCGGAATCCTTTTCAGAACGCACCCTGGAAGAGGTCTGGGTAGTAGCAGTACGGCAGGGGCCTGTCGTGTCCACGCGGCGGCGACCCCAGCGGGGGGACAAGGTTGAAAGGCATATCCAGCAGCCCCGCGACGCCGATGTGAGGCGACACGTGGCTGCTGGCGATCCCCTTCAGCCGCGCCCCCCCCTCCTCTCCAGATGAGCGCCCAAAGAGGACCCCTAAGGGGAGGCCCAAGAGGCCAACGTCGCTCCCGTTCCTGAAAGACTTCTTGGGCGAATTCTAGCCCATCCAGAAGCGATGTCCAGGCAAATTGAGGTGATCCGGGAAGTGCGGGAGCAAAGAGGGGGACGGCCAAACCGTGCGAAGGAGGGAGGAGGAGAAGGAGGAGGCTGGGTGGATCGATGAGGGAGCGGGGAGAAGGAGGATGAATAGGATGAGGAGGCGGAGGAGGAGGAGGAAGAGAAGGAGTAGGAGGAGGAGGAAGGAGGAGCAGGAGGAGGAGGGCAAGCGAAAGGGCCAGAGGTCTCTTGGATGCCTCTCGGAGCCTCTTGGTGTTTCTCTTGGTCGCTTCTTGGTGGCCTCTTGGGACGCCTTGGGGGTCTCTTGGCGGTCCTGGGGGGCTCTTGGGCGTCTGGGGCGCCTTGGGGGGGCCTCTTGGGGCCGTTTGGGGTCCTCTTGGGGGCCTCTTGGGGGCCTCTTGGGGGCCTCTTGGGCCATCTTGGGGCCATCTTGGGACCTCTTGGGGCATCCTGGGTGCCTCTTGGGGCCATCTTGGAGGAGATCGATCAAAGAAGAGGGGAGTTCATTTGAGCGTCGCTCCCCCGAAGAGGCCAAAAGTGGGGCCCATACCCTAGTAAAAACAGTGATGTGGGCTCTCTCGCCTAGGCCGTTTTGGGCGCTCTAACTACCCGCGACTGGCCCCGTCCAGGTCCAAGGGAGGGGTTAGGGGGGAGGGGTAAACCCCTCCCCGAAGGGGAAGAAGGGGGGTGGAAGAGGAAACTCCCTAAACCACCTTCGCCCAGAGGGCTGGTGGAATTCTGCGTTCTCGCTGTTTCGGGCTTCCGACGCTAAAGCCAGGCCAAGAGCCTCCCGAGCTTGCCCCAGGACGGCACAAGAGGCCCCCCCTACCATCGAACAAAAATGCAATTGCAACATCAGCTATGGAACAATGTTAAACAAGTGTTGCCAAGCCCGAGGACGAGCTAGAGCCCCGGCTGGCGGACGTCGCGGCGCCGTCGGAGCTGCTGCCAGACCCGCCCGCCAAGCCGTCCGCGTCCGCCGAAGCCGCCGCCGCGGAGGCGACGCCCCACGGGCGAGAGGCCCCCAGCGGCGCCTTTGGCGACGCAGCGGCGGCGGCAGCCGCGGGAGGCGCCCCTCCGCGGGGAGGAGGGTGGGGAGGATGGAGGAGGGAGGAAGATGGAGGAGGAGGAGGAGGAGGAGGAGGAGGAGGAGGAGGAGGAGGAAGATGGAGGAGGAGGAGGAGGAGGAGGAGGAGGAGGAGGAGGAGGAGGGGGGATGGAGGAGGGAGGAGGGAGGAGGGAGGACGGGGAGGAGGGAGGACGAGGAGGAACAAAGGAGGAGGAGTAGGAGGAGGAGGAGGAGGAGGAGGAGGAGGAGGAGGAGGAGGAGGAGGAGGACGCGAGGGTGGAGGAGGAAGGGGGCGGTGGCGGCGACCGCCTCCAGAAGCCCCTCCCTGGAGGAGGAAGAAGAGGCACGAGGAGGAGGGCCCAGATCTCCGACCATGTCATTTTTGTCCGCGTGGGCGTTTTTTCGATTTCGGCTTTTGGGGCCCCGATCGCCCCTCCCAGGAGGGGGAGGTCATGGCCCCTTCCGCTGCGGCCTCGCCTCAAGGGCCGTGGGCAGGTGGCCAGGGGGCAGCCTCGATGCCGAAGGGGTCGTCACGAGAGGAGCTCGTCACGGAAGGAGTTGGTTCAGCGGAACCCGAGCAGGAGGATGGGCGGGGAGGAGGAGGAGGAGGAGGAGGAGGAGGAGGAGGAGGAGGAGGAGGAGGAGGAGGAGGAGGAGGAGGAGGAGGAGCGCGTTTCCGAAAGAAGGGTCGGGATCCGACCCCGCTAGGAGCAGGAATGGCGGCCCGACTGTTGGGCGGCCTCAGCGCGAGAAGTGCACGCGCGCCGTGTCGACGGACTTACACATGCCGACGAGCACCACCGTGTGCAGGGAGGGGGAGGGACGGCGGACCAGCCGCGAAACCGCCGGGCCCCCACCGTCCCCCACTGCCCCCCCCTGCGGCCTGGACGACGCGGAGGGCATCCTCGAGCGCGATGCCGCGCGCTTCCGCGAACGCCTCGAGGTGCTCGCAGAAGCGGATCTCCCTCTCGCCAAGCACCCTTGAGCCAGCGCCAGCGGCAGTCGCCACAGCGCCGCCACCGTCGCCCCAGCCAGGGCACCAGTCTCCGCCGACGGCGTGCCGCCCGCCCCGGCCGTGCCAGCCCCAGCTCGAAGGCCGTCGGCCCATTCGTGGTCGGTCGGCAGCCGCCGCGGCCACCTGCACGAGCGCGAGGCCCGCGCCAGCGGGCGGCTAAGCTGCCATCCCCTACGCAGCCCCAGCTCGGCGACGCCGAGCGCGGCGCGGCGCCTCCTGAGGTCAGCTTGGCCAGCCGAACGCGCGCGCGCCGCGGACGCTGCGGCTGGCCAGCCTGCAGCTCGGCCGCGGCCGCGCGGCAGAGGCCCTCCGCCGTGCGCAGGAGGCGGCACGCTCCTCCAGCGCTCCGAGCGAGGCCCGCTGTCGAGTGGGCCGCCAGCACCGCCCCGCGGGCGGCCGCCAGGGCCGAGGACAACAGCTTCCGCTGCTCTTGCGCCGCCGCCGTCGGAGCCCGCATCGCCCTCGTCGTCCTCCCTCTCTCTTCTTGTTAATCCACCTCCACGTCCTCACCCACGCGCCTCCTCCTCCTCCTCCTCCTTTCACGATTCTTCGGGCGCAGGAGTTTTCTCACGCCGTTCCTCCCCCAGGTTTCGATCCAGCTCCTGAGGTGCAGTCGGAGGGGGAGGGGCTTGAGGATCAGGCGGTCGTCTGCCACTTGTCGTCCGCTGAGGGTACTCAGTGTGGCGAGCGCTTCAAGACGCTGAAACGATTGTAATTGCACGCTAGACAAGTTCGCCGAACCGTGACAAATCAATGCTTCCGATGCCTCCAAGTATTGGGGTACAGGGAGGCTGTTCGGCGTCACGCCATGAGGGCCCACCAGAACAACCGGTGCGCAGTGGGAAAATTACTAGTAGTTTGCCTGTGGTGGTTGGCAGCCTCCGGTTTGTAACCGCCCACGCCCCGAATTCTTTGGAGCTGCAATTGCACATCAGAACGCATTGCGACCTCTCATCCCCGACATTTACACTCTCGTGTCTTCGGCTGCGTGGCAAACATGGAGGTGGATCTCAAGGCTCTCATGTCCCGCGCCAAGCATGATAGACGGGGCCGACGACGACGCCAACACTTCTGGGGGACAAAGAACAAAGCTGGGACACTTGGCGGACGAGGCTGACGACGACCTGGCGAAGGTAGAGGGAACACTTCGCGGTAAGGACATCCAGAGCGCGCTCTCGATCTTGCTGAAGATGGCATGCGAGCTCGCTCAACAGCTTCGGGATCTCGCGGCGTCGGAGTGGATCCCGATGGTGGTTCTACGGAGTGTTGCGTGGCCACCGCCGCCAGATCAGCGAGCGGGCATAGGTTACGCAGAGGCCAAGGCGGTTCCAGAACTCAAGGTGAAGCCCAGCCCTCCAAATTTGTACATCGCGCGCGCCGCGTTCAAGACGATGGTGGAGGACGATGAGGCCAAGAAGCTGTTCGAGCCGCGCGAGGCCATCAACACGATTTTCACAAAGTTTCTCTCAGTTGCATCACCGGAGGATCAGGCCGTAGTGATTCGGCATTTCCGTGTCCGCCGTTGTTACAACGAACGTTTCCAGCGTGTCCAGTTCAGCATCTCAGAGGGTTCCCAGATCGACGGGACGGATCTCACCAAATTCTTTGTCGAGCAGGCGTTGATCAGGACGATGTTGGGCTTGGTGGGTCGCCCTAAGCTTAGCGCGGCACCAGTTGGTCACCTCAAGCAGATGGCGCAGAAGTCGCTGGATCGCAGCAAGAAGGCCGAGGGCAAGGGCGGCAGCAGCGGCAGCAAGAAATAGTATTTTTGTTGAGAGGCTCGTCCCGCGGCGCTGCACAGGATAGAGAACGGCAGTCTCCATGTTCTTGAGTGGATCGGTGCCTTTCGGATTCTGTTCAGTCCATATTACGTCATGGTCCGCCGTCCTGTCTCGAATACTTCGCAGGCGTCGGAACGCGGGTTCTCCGTCCCGCCAGTGTGGCGTCGAACAGAGTTTGCCAGGCCGTAGGGCCCATGTTCTTGTGGTAACCACCTGACCAGACGGAGATGACTCGTTCACGTTTTGTGGAGGTAGCTTTTGTTGGGGGTAGGTCAGCGATGAACACGCACCCAACACTTGGAGCGGGAGTAACGCAGGGATTCGTGTCTCTGGCCCCATTCTCTGGAGTTGGTGCATGCAGTCGCTGATTGTTGCCTGCTTCTGGCCATGGCTGGGCCGCGTCAGTTTCCGTGAGTTGGCTTACTCGTGTATTGGAGCATCTTTCTGAAGGCCAAGTACCGCTGCGGGAACCCGTCCTGAACCTGAGCTAGCGACCGCGCTGCCTTCTCCATGCTTGGCATCCTCCTTTTTTCCGCCCCCCTCCCGGCAGTCCGGTCTGCATTCGAGTCGTCGGGTGTCCCAGGGGTCGGCTTGGTGCACCTAGCACCGTATATGTTTGGCCCCTGCGGGGCCCCAGGGAAAGCACCCCCAGCCCGCATGCCCGAATCATTTGTGAGCCGCCTCCGAACCTCGTCCGAGCTCGGGGCTGTACGGTGCGCTCTCACCCTGACCTCGAGCGTTCAGTTCGGTCGTTTGGTTTGCCCGAGGTGGCTTCATATTCTTGTTTTGTGCCAAGTAGTCTCGCAGAAAGATGGCGAGCAGCCCTACAGCGCAAGGCCGCGCCATTCTCGTAGTCCCCTTCGTAGTTCTATACGTATTAGTCCTCCTCTTCGTCCTCATCTCCCTCCTCCACCTCTTCGTCCTCCTGCACCTCACCCTCCCCTTCTCCATCCTCATCCACCCCCCTTCCTCCTAGACCTCGGCATCCCCATCCTCGTGCTGACTTCCGCCTCTGCATCATCTTCCGCATTTTCGCCCCCCCGCGCCACCGCCGCCTCTTCCTCCACCCCTTCCGCCGACGTACCGCTCCTCCAACCGATCCGCCACCTCCATGAGGGAAGGCGAGGGGGAGGGGAAAGGTGGAGGAGAAATTGGATTGAAGTTGTTGCACGCGTTTTTGGTTTGTTGATTGGACGTGCCACCCCACTTATGGCCCTCGTTGGACCTCCTCGAGGCCTGGGCGAGGGGCGTTGATTACGGAGACTTGCCAGGGACCTTGGGAGATGTGTAGGGCCCAGGAAGCCAGGACACTACACACCAGGACCCTGCAATATCGGAACATTTAAGAAAACGGGAGGAATGGAAACCTTTACCGACTACACTACCAGCGGGAGACAACGAGAGATTGTAGAATGGTCCGACCCACGGCCGTAATTCTCCCAGGTGCGCCAACTTGTTGGTTTATCCATGTGCACGCTTGTGGGGCCCTGGGACTTCCCCTGACATCCGACGACGTATTGTTTGCAATCCGCTGCTCCAGAAATCCCGACCACTCTCCTGTTTCGCCCAAGTTTCGTATTTGATGACCCCCCAGGCCCGAGAACGGGGGCTAACCCGAGAAAGAGTAGTCATACCAGACAAGCTAGGGAACACATCACAGGGTACCGATACCGCTACTCCGCGAACCTCCTCTCCTGGGACGCGTTCTAGAGTCCAGCCGCGGCGACGAGGAGTGGGTAGCGGCATCGGTAAGTCGAGGATGAACGCCTGGACCGAAACGAAACACATCGGCGCAGACCCGGGTCCTCGCGGGAGGCCCCGACGAGGCGTTCGCCAACCCGTTCTTCCAGGACTCGGCGGGCGGCGCCGCGGACCGCAGGCCAAAGCGCGCGAGAAGCCCGCCCAGGCAGGGTTGGATCTAAGCGGTGTTTTCGCAATTTTGTGGGCCGTTTCCGTTCAGATTTCGTTTTGCAGCTAAGGCGGATTGGAGACAAAACAAGGGAAAGCCACTGTTTAGGTCCATCTCTGCACCCAGGCGCAGCGCGGGGGGCATGCGCGGCTGGAGCGACGACGAGGACGAGGCGTCTGACCCGCGGCCCCGTCACGCCGTCGCGGCCGCATCCGGTGGCCGGCTGACAGAAGCCCAGAGCCTTTGGCGCGTCGCGGCAAGAATCACGACGGGATGCTCACCGCAGTGTTGGGCCGCCTGGGGCCACCGCCGTGCCCCAGGAGCGTCAAACAACGACTCGGGATGAAGAACCGATACCAGGAAATGGGTCTAGACGCCCAGGGTTCGTTTTGTAAAAAGGCGTGTTGTCGGTGGTCTGGTGGACGGTTGGCAAATTCGAATAGCAAACGTTGTATGTTCATGAATTTGTTCAGTTCTGCGCGGGTTTCTTGGATTGGCGTTGGTCCCCATTGGCGGTGCTTCGGCGGCGAGCCTTCTGCGGTCATGGAGAATGTTTGCGAAAGTACCCTCAGAAGGCGCGATGGCTCAGAAGCCCCGCTGCCTTCTGAGAAGGCCTGCCCCCTCTCACTCTCCCCCTGGGATCGCCGCCGATCTGTTCAATCCGGGACCCCAGAGTCCCCGATCGCTTCCTGATGAGGGTAGCTTTTCGCTCGAGACGCGTATTTGATGGCCTCTGGGCCCCAGAATGGCCCCCAGGGGAGAAACTCAAGGACATGATCATGGCGAACGACCCAACCATATGAAGTTGTGAGTGACGCAGTTGTGAGTGTCGTCATCGGTGGGGCTCCTAATGCGGCCACGAAGACTGCGAGGGGTGTGCCGACATGGACATGCGGTGGGCGGGGAGCCGCATGCGAGCCCTGCCACAGGGGCCCTCGGCGGAGCTCTCTTTGGGGTCACGAAGCGTGTGAAGTGTGTGCCGACATGGACATGCAGTGGACGGGGAGCCGCATGCGAACCTTGCCCCTGAGGCCCTCGGCGGAGCTCCCTATGGGGCCACGAAAGGTGTGAGGGGTGTGCAGAAATAGGCCAGCGGCGTTCGGGGAGCCGCATGCGAACCTTGACATTGGGGCCTTCGGTGGAGCTCACTATGAGGCCACGAAACGTGTGGTGGGGGTGCCGACGACATGGGCATGCGGAGGACGGGGGGCCGCATGCGGACTCCGCCACTGTGGCCTTCGGTGGGAGCTCCATATGGGGCCACGAAACTTGTGAGGGTGTGCCGACGTGGACATGCGGTGGTTGGGGAGCCGCACGCGAATCTTGCCACTAGGGCCTTCGGTGAAGCTCCCTATGGGGCCGCGAAACGTGTAAGCGGTGTACGGAAATAGGCACGCGGTGGGCGGGAAGCCCCATGCGAACCTTGCCATTGGTGCCTTCAGTGGAGCTCCGTATGGGGCAGCGAAACGTGTGAGGGTTGTGCCGAAGTGGACATACGGTGGGCGGGGAGTCACACGCAAACCCTCCCATTGTGGATTTTGGTAGAGCTCCTGTTGAGGGTACGAAGCCTGTGAGGGGTGTGACGGGATGGACATGCGGAGGGCAGAGGCAGGGATGGGAGGAGTGAGGAGGGGGAGGAGGAGAGGAGGAAAAGGAGAAGAAGAAGGAGGCGGAGGAGGAGGAGGAGGAGAAGGAGACGCGGGGCGCTGCCTCTTCAAAACGAGGACCCATCACCACAGGATGGTTGGGAAAAGGCAGTAGGATTGAGCATCAATCATGTCGTCGGAGATCTGGGCGTCTGTCCGCTCCGGAGGCAGCGGGGCGGGGCGTTCTATGCGCGGCCGCGGCTTCCTGCCGTCGTCCGACCAGGAGGCCGGGGAGGCCCCGGACACGCCGGCCTTGAGGTGCGCCCTCCGGGGCGACTACGAGAAGTACACGATAGACCCCGAGGATCAGCATCGTCTAGCCGATTTCCATCCCCACTGGGCCCTCAGCCCACCCCGCCAGGCACGAACGGGTCCTGCTGCGGAGCCCGAAGGGAACAGCATACGTCCCCACCTGTTGGGGTAAGTCGGCCATTGGGGCTACGGGCATGCTAGTGGGCTTAGGGGTCGGCTAAACGGGGCTCAGAGGACACGTGGAGGCCGCAGAGGAAGCCGTACGTTGAGCTGCAGGATGTCGAAGAAAAACCAAATCAGAAAGTGTCGCTGGTCCCCTGGAGTGCTTAGACCTGCGTTGGGCCCCCCTCGCCGCGCCTCTGGCGCCCCAGGGAGGAGTGGTGGGGGGGGGGGCGGCAGCGCAGGTCCCAGAAAGCCGCGCGGACGTTCGAAATTGCATGTTCTATGAGCGATTTAGAATAACAAGAATTCTTTGAGAACGAGGGTTGACCGGAGGGCTGGCCGGGGTACTTGTTTGACAGGTAGTATCGGTTGTGATTCTTGATGTGTGTGGTTCAGCACCAGCGTTGGAATATCCGTTTTCGAAGGCCGCCCCAGTCTTGCTCAATCCCGGCTAATCCGGCGTAGTCTTGGGCTCCATTTGGATTCATCCGGCCTATTGGTCCTTGAATCGGTCTTGACAGCCTTCAGTCATTCACACGAGGACCTCCCAGCTTTCCAGGAGATACTTGCTAAGGCAGGCCTTTCCATAAGACTTCGTAGCTGTTTCCCTACAGCGTTTCGCGAGAGGGTCTGACTGGTGGTAACGTGGGGGATACAACCGCCTGGTCAGGCAGCCATGTCGCTCGAGAGTTCCTCTCGCCTCAACGCTGACCGGATACATGATTGGTCCGGACGTCCACGGTCCCTCGTTCAAGAACACACTACGGTGCACATGGCCGTGTCTCGACCTGCTCCTCGACCCGCCTCCTCACTCCTGCTGAAATGAGGTTGCTCTGCTGGGGTACTTTTCCTCTTCCTCTGAGGACGGCTGGGAGTTTTCCAACGCGTGGAGCCTGCGGCCAGAGGACGGGCCAGAGAGGCTGCCCCGGGACCCAGGGCCGCTTGTGGGCGTGGCGTGCTGGCGCGTGGACCACGCCGAGGCCCAGGCCTTCCAGGTCGCCTTCGCGAGCAGCTCGCGCGAGGCGCGGGGCTGGCTGGAGGGCCGCGGCGGGCGCGGGGAGGATCCAGGGCGAAAGGAAGCATCGCTCGATGAGGAGATCTAGGATCGAGGATCAATGGAGCACTGGGAGGGTCGAGCATCTGGGATCGAGGACATCTCGCCAGGATCAATCGAAACGTCATGAACATACACATGGCTCGTTGGAAGTACGTATGGAAGGCGCCTACGTCGAGCCACCGCCGTCCCCTGCCTTTGAAAGCGCGCATGTGGCCAAACGTTGGCCCGAAGTCTTGCCAAGCTATTGGGCAACGTGTTCGTGTTCCGCCTCGGGGCCTCTTGGGGCCTCCATCCAGCTGCCTGCGGCAAACTCCGCCACTATGACTGCGCAACAGCGTGGCAGGAAGGAGGTTGAGTGTAGGAACAGGGCAATTCCAAAGAGTAGTCTGCATTAGGGCGGGTCGTGATCCAGACCTCGTCTTCGTCCGCGCGGTAGGGAGGAGGAGGAGGAGGACGAGGAAGATGAAGAGGAGTAGGAGGAGGAGGAGGAGGAGGAGGAGGAGGAGGAGGAGGAGGGTTTCTTGGAGGCATTTTGGGGGCCTCATTGGGCGTGTTGGGAGCCTTTTTGGGCCCCTTGGGCAGCCATAGGGAATTACTGGCCCGTGTGACGCCAATGGAGGCCGCCTTGGGAGCCTCTCTAGGAAGCGTCCGTGCCCTCATGGAGCGGTTCGCGGCCGTCTGGGGGCCCTTCTGGGAAGCAGTTGGGCGATCTTTGGGCCCTTTTCGGCCGATGTGAGGCCCTCCTAGCGATCTCTTGAGCTGAATTGGACCTATCTTGGAGGCCTCTTGCATGCTTCTTGGGCCGTGTTGGGCGGTCGGAAATTTGAACAGGCGAGAACCCCACATTCTCCCAACAACCTAAAGAACATCAATGGCTGTGGCCCCCTCGGGCTCTCCAGGAGTGCATTTTGGAGCCGTCTTGGGGCATATTGATCTGTCTTGAGGCTATTTTCGGAGCCTCTTGAGCCGTCTTTGGCCGCCGTCTTGGTGTCATCTCGGTTACTTTCAACGCTGTCCTGGAGGCGATGAGGTTCCCAAGAAGGCCTCAAGACAGATCAAGAGGCCCCCAAGACGGCCCAAGAGGTCTCCAAGCGGCCTTCCAGGAGCACCCAGGAAAGCCAACGCCATTCATTGATGTTCCTTGTGTCCTTGGCAGATTGTAAGATAGTCCAAGAGGCCTCTCGGGGCCGTCTTGCTGCTCTTGTGGAGCGGCTCACGAATCTGAAATAGGGTTCAGAGGGTGGTACGTATAGCGAGCGTAGCCAGCGTGCCGTCGGCGTCTGGCTCGAGACTCTGGCGCCCTATTTGCTTAGATTGACCGTGGACTCGGCAATATACGATCGCACCTAAATTACTCACTGCGTGGAGCTCTCCATATGTGCAATTTGGGATATTGGAAAGCACCTCGGAGAGAGAAATCAACATCCCACGGTGACACAAGCTCTGCGCCAGCAACACCTGGTCACTCCTCCCTGACCGCCGTACGCAACGGGGAGAGCCACTTGGGACACAACGCCAAAGCAGAAAACAGGCAAACCGCTAGGGACATCCCCACAGAACGGCCGCGAACGGGACCGTGAAAGCACCCTTTGCGGCTTCCCTCAGGTAGCTGAAACCAGCGCCCCGCCCGAGACATCCTCAGAATCTGCTCCGGAAGCGAAGGATGTTGGGACAGACAACAGGCAAACCGCTTGAGACATCCCCACAAAACGGCCGCGAACGGGACCGTGTCATACCCTTCGGCGGTTCCCCTTACGGGTGCTGAAACCAGCGCCCCGCCTGAGACATCTTCACAATCTGCTCTCCAAGTAAAGGATGTTGGCACAGAAAACAGGCAAACTGCTTGAGACATCCCCACACAACGGCCGCGAACGGGACCGTGTCATACCCATTGGCGGCTCCCCTTAGGGATGCTGAAACCAGCGCCCCGCCTGAGACATCCTCACGATCTGCTCTCCAAGCGAAGGATGTTGGGACAGAACACACGCAAACCGCTTGGGACATCCCCCCAGAACGGCCGCGAACGGGACCGTGAAAGCACCCTTGGCGGCTCCCCTTAGGGGTGCTGAAACCAGCGCCCCGCCTGAAACATCCTCACGATCTGCTCTACAAGCGAAGGATGTTGGGACAGAAAACAGGCAAACTGCTTGAGACATCCCCACAACACGGCCGCGAACGGGACCTTGTCATACCCCTCGGCGGCTCTCCTTAGGGACGTGAAAATGACGCCTCGCTCGAGACATCCTCCACATCTGCCCGAGAGCGAAGGATGTTGGGACAGAAGACAGGCGAACCGCTTGAGACATCCCCACAAAACGGCCGCGAACGCTGCGTGCGTGAGTCTCAGCATGAGTAAGTCTGAGTAGGAGAAGGTCTGAGTATGAGTAGGTCTGCCTATGAGTACTTCTGGACGCTTCGCGTATCCCCTCCAGCCCCCGGCGCCGGCCGCGGCCCGCGCGCGCGTCCGGCCAATTAGTATCGGCCGCAGCCCGACCGTTACTCGCCGCCGCTGGCGCTTCCGCCCGCGGCTGTAAAATTATTCACTGCGTGGAGCTCCCCATATGCGCATCTACTCGCATGGACCTGTCCGCCGTGAGTGTCTAGGCGCAAGAGCTTTCGAATATTAACGGGCTTCAGTTGTGACGGTCTGGACATCAATCTATCTGCGAATGAATTGGAATGTGAATGAGCCTCAGTAGTACAAGCGCGTCTCTGTGCATGAGCCTCGGGCCTCTTGGGCCCTCCTGAAACCTACTGGGGCTTCCTTGGGTCTCCACTTGCCTCTTGGGACCTCCTGGGACCTCCTAGGAAGGTTTCGTGCCCCAGGAGAGGCGCAATCTATAGCAACAGACGTGCAATAAAACATTGCGGATTAGAGCCACAGGAGAAGGGCAATATATAAACACGCGTAAAACACCAAGGACTCGTGCCCCAGGAGAGGCCCACTATATAGGAACATGCGTAAACATTTAGGATTGTGTACACAGGAGAAGGACCATCTATAGAAACATACGTAGAACATCAAAGAATCGTGCTCCAGGTAAGGCCCAATCGATAGGAGCATACGTAAAACACATGGGATTGGAGCCACTCCTGTTGCCTTCTGAGGCCTCCTGCTCCTGGGGCCTCTCGGGGCCTCCTGTTGCCTTCCGAGGCCTCCTGGCGCTTCCTGTTGCCTCCTGGGGCCTCCTGTGGTTTCCTGAGGCCTTCTGGAGCTTCCTGGGGCCTCCTGGAGCCTCTTGGGACATCCTGTGGCCTCTTGAGTCTTTCTGTGGCCTCCTGATGCCTCCTGGGACCTCATGTGGTCTCCTGGGGCCTCCTGGACCTGTTGGAGCCTCCTGTGGCATCCTGAGAAGAATCTGCGCCCACGAGCCTGGCCACGAAAACAAGCAAACCGATCGAGACATCCTCAAAATCTGGCCCACCTGGGGGGTGAAAATGAGCGCCTCGCTCGAGACATCCTCCAAATCTGCTCCGAAAGCGAAGGATGTTGGGCCCAGAAACAAGCAAACCGCCTGAGACATCCCCACAAAATGGCCGCGAACGAGCCCGTGCAACCACCCCTGGCGGCTCCCCTTAGGGCCACGAGCCTGGCCACCAAAACAAGCAAACCGATCGAGACATCTTCAAAATCTGGCCCACCTGGGGGGTGAAAATGAGCGCCTCGCTCGAGACATCCTCCAAATCTGCTCCGAAAGCGAAGGATGTTGGGCCCAGAATCAAGCAAACCGCTTGAGACATCCCCACAAAATGGCCGCGAACGAGCCTGTGCAAACACCCCTGGCGGTTCCCCTTAGGGGTGCTGAAACCAGCGCCCCGCCTGAGACATCCTCAAAATCTGCTCTCCAAGCGAAGGATGTCGGGCCCAGAAACAAGCAAACCGCCTGAGACATCCCCACAAAATGGCCGCGAACGAGCCCGTGCAAACACTCCTGGCGGCTCCCCTTAGGGGTGCTGAAACCAGCGCCCCGCCTGAGACATCCTCTCAATCTGCTCTCCAAGCGAAGTCTGAATATGACTAATACTGTGTATGAGTAAGTCTGGGTATGAGTAAATCTGTGTATGAGTACGTCTGGGTGTGGGTAAGTCTGTGTATGAGTAAGTCTGTGTATGAGTATGTCTGAGTGTGAGTAAGTCTGAGTATGAGTAGGTCTGAGTATGAGTAAGTCTGAGTATGAGTAAGTCCGAGTATGAGTAGGTCTGAGTATGAGGAAAGAGGAGGAGGGGAGGAGGAAAGAGGAGGAGGGAGGAGGAGTAGGAGGCGTCCAAGTAATAACAAGAACCCCATCTTAGGATATGGGGAAAACATAAAAAAATCCCCACCAGCCCGTTCAGAAATGAGTCCCAGGGGAGTGGAGGTTATGGGGGGAGCGGGGGAGCATGCAGAAAAACAAAGGGCGGGGTGAGCGCGGAATACCCCAAGAGGGGGAGGATGTAGGAGGAGCCGTCGTCGTCGGAGTAAGAGGAGGAGGAGGAGGAAGAGGAGGAGGAGGAGGAGGAGGAGGAGGAGGAGGAGGAGCAGGAGCAGGAGCAGGAGCAGGAGGAGGTTGACGACTCCCGAGGGAGGGGAGAGGAGAAGGAGGTCCCACCCCACCCCCACAACGAACACCCGAGGGAGGTGCCCGCAGCGGTGGAGGTGGGCCCACATAGTGCCCGCGCCGATGGCGCGCATCCGAGGCCGGCCTCACGCCCCAGAGGGTGCCTCAGATTCAAAACACTTGCCCCCGACAGCGTTGGTGCTGGCCCAAGCAGCATCGAGGGCGTACGCCTCGCGTCCTAGCTCTTCCGCCCTAGCGCGCGAACGAAAACCGAAGGCCCACAAGGCATCGTTTATGGCCATTCGGGGGTATTCACTGCCCCACCGCATCGGTTGGTCTAGGGCCGCGCGGCGCGCGTCAGGCACCCTCGTTGCCTGCGCCGCGTCGGGCCCAGAGAAATGCTCCCTCCACTGCGCGCGCAGCCCCGCTGATGGCCCAGCCAATTCGCCTATGCGGGCGCGCCACGCGTGGTGGGGATGAACGCCTCTCTCGGCCCTGCTGCGTATGCTCTGCGCCCAGGGGGTGCGACCTCCCGCGTGCGAGCATTCTGCCTTGAGACCACGGCCGACTCCTGGGCACGTGGCGTGCCCAAGGCAACGCGTACAAATCAGAACA